ATAAAAGGTAGGTTTTGAGGGGGGGGGGGTAGCATATATATATATACACGTACATATATATGTATATATGTATACATATAAGGTACGGTCTAAATTCCCAATGTGGGCCGTGTACATTGGATTTCGGTGAGTGGCCTATCGTTTTCAACGCTTTGCTGGTGGGTCGTTTATCTCTCTTTGTTAGTACAAGTTTAGTAGTGGAACTTCCATCTCCGGCAACCGGATGGATCTTCGTTCTCTGGTAGTGCAACTTTAGTACTGGAGCGGCCGTCTCCGGCAACCGGAAGGATCTTCGTTCTCTGGCAGTACAACTTTAGTACTGGAACGGCCGTCTCCGGCAATTGGATGGATTTTCGTTCTGTTTAAAATTTCGACCTATCGTTTTCGGTGAGTGGCCTATCGTTTTCCAACCCAAAATGTTGTTTCCAAATCTTCGTGTCGGTCCCCTTATAACCCTAGGCCTGGATAAAAAGACCGCGCTTCATATGAATGCCGCGCAGCAATTTCAACCTTCTCTGAGCTCCTCTACTTCCCTCTCACATAGGGGTGATATTGGGGTTACGTTGGGGTTATATTGGGGTTTTATTGGGATAATGGGATAATGGAAAAGAGAAAGAAAACTACTAATTATACAGAATTTCAACCAAAGCCTTAGACGGACACCCCTGCTCCATATTCACCACTTCAACGCACAGGCCATCGTGCCTTTGATTGAAAAACTGGCAAGAGAGAATCATTCATAGGTCAGCTATCCCATGATACCTGCTTGCGTCAGAAGAACCAAGGAAATCGTCCTTGATTTGTACTCAATCCTTAGGCCCGTGTATACTACCTAAACCCTTTGAATGCTTGAGTAGCAATTGAAGCACCTTGGCTTGCAAGGCACCATTGGCCTCAGCCAGGCCCTGCCGCAAAGATCAGTGGACTTTGAACGTTGCAGACAATCTGCAGTGTGCAGACCATGAGATTTCTCAACGAGCGGGGCCCTAAGGACCGATAACAGGGTGCTTATTCGATCATTTTGAGAAACCGCCAGAGTAGCTACCATGCAATCTGCAAGGAGAAGCGAGCGACCACACTGCGGAAAGATGAGGAAGTCAGACCACGCTCTTGCTCCAAAAATTGGGGGTTCCCATCCTTGGAGTCTCTATGGAATGTACCATAGTATTTTGAGAGTCCATATTGGGGGCGCACAATTTTTGAAACTACCCTGTACTGTTGGAGTGGGCGCAGTGGTCCTTGAGCTCTGTGATAGCTTTCTCTGTGCCAGCGCAGGAGAAGCCTCAACATGGTCGGGAGTTTCTCAAAATTGTTCAGGGCCTTGGGGTAGAAAGGGATTGTATAGGGATCCTCGGGGGTCCATATTAAGGATTATGCAAGGAATGACTTTAAGATACTTGAAGAAATAGCCGCTTGAAACTTGGATGATTCATTTGGGGCGGGTTTCAGCAAAAAGGCTTCTTTGCCATGTTTTGCTGGGTGCACTGCCCGCCAGCTTGAAAGAGCAAACTGGGCATATCCCTTTAGCCCCCGAGAAACACATGCGTGGGAAGCCAGCACATAGACGGATGTGCAGGCCACAGAACTTCATCATGTGTAACCTCCTTTAGGCTGCTTCACCAAGTGTGGCAGGCATTTGCAAAAGCAGTTGAAATACGTTTCCAACAAGCCTTCGAGGGACCAAGAAGGGGTTCATCAAAAGCTGAACATGACCCTTTTAGAGTCATGGAAACGCAAAAATCCATGTCCAAACCCTATGCAGGGTGCACAGAGCTCTGAGCCCTCAGCCCTTGGGGAAGAGCTCGTTTGCGATCTGACACACTGCCTGAATTGAGCAGTTGAAGAAGCTCCATTTAAAGGGGGTTGCAGGGATATGCAAGAAATCACAGCGAAGCGGAGTCCTGGCCACCCTCCTTCTTGCGGGCCTCTTCACCTAGGCACTTCTCAGCAACAGTCAGGGTCAGAGCACACCTGCAGCCATGCAGTATATGACAGTTCGGACATGCTTCTGGATGCTGGAGCACCAGCAGATATCAGGATGTTGGCTGCAATCTGGATTTCACTTACTATAGGTCAGCTTATCCTTCAGCCGAGGAGCAGAGTCCTACCAGCTTTGCCTTCTCGAATCCCGCGACGGAAAGCATGGCCTTCCGTCATTTGCAAGGCTTTGGGGTTGGAGTAGAGCTCCCCTTCCTTCTACCTTACAATCCATACTTAATGGAAATTCCAGCTTTGAACTCGGCCACAACCAAAGAACAGGAAGCAACAAACCAAGCATAAAGGTTTTGGACTTACGATGCTCTTCCGTTGTTCGTGGCGCTTTTGTATGCTTTCAGTCAGGAATTTGCAGGCTTGCAAAATTCACAGGAACCACGTTTCTGCCTGCCCGTGCAGAGATTCAAAGGCGTTTTCCTTTCCTCGTATGACCAGTGGCCCGACATCCATGCCCTGTAGGCATAGCCCAAATCAACCCGAAGCAACAACGTCCCGCTGTCTCCTGCAGCGCAAGCACGTTATCAATGGGGCCTTGGGGCACTTGATCAAGCTTGCTGCTTGTTGGGCTGAGGTCTGATAATATAATAGGAAAACTAAGAATATAGTGGTAATAATCGTAGTGAAATAGTAATGGTAATAACGGCAATAATCATAACAACGGTGGAGTCTGCTTGTTGGGCCTGCTTGCCAACAGCTGCTGCGTCCTGCATCGCCTGACCACCTGAGCAGCTTTGGTTGCAGTTTCTTACCCTCCTGCTTTCAGGTTTCAGAGTCTAGGCTTTAGGATTCAGCATGATGCCGTCCGGTTCTTCTTAACAAATCCCTTTGCAAGGATTTACATCATCCACACCAGGGCCCCTGCGCAAGCTGACGAGCTTCAGCCCCTCCTGGTCAGGACACACAGGAGAGGGCAACAACCTAAGGAAGCCCGAAACCCTAAACCCTTAAACCGCTTGGCCTGTGTAGGCCTTGTGTTTGCTGGCACACTCAAGAGTTTTAATGGGATGATGAACAGCGCAATCCCAGAGTTTGCGATTTCAGCGGGCTGCTGCAGCTTTCATCCTTTGATGCCTAGCGCAATCCAAATCCGACAGAAAGGATACGATCATTAGCCTCCCGGAGCCCTTACCCTAAATAATAAAGTAGACTCCATTCCATTTTCCGTGTTCTTTTCCATTTGAATCTAAGTCGGGCTGCCAACTTTGTGTGCAAGGAAGGATTGTAAAAATTTTGTGAGGAATAGTGGAACAGGACGTGAAAACAACTACATCATACTGGGGTATGTGCTGGGAGTAGGGATATCCCCCCAGCAATGGTACATCACATGGAACAAACAATGAAAAACTGGGATTAACGCTCACATGCCGGGTCTTGGGACAACAGCTGCTTGCGTCCCCAGCTAACCCTCTGTGCAGCATCCACGATACCGCTAAGTCTACATAGAACGAATCCGAAGCTCTACTTGTCACTCTCGATGCCTTTGGCACTTGTAGGCTTCGGTGACGGGTGATCAATTTCCCAAGTTTTCGATGAGGGTTGGGACATCCCATGCAGCAAAAGGCGCATTTTGACATTGCACATCTTCTCGAGTGCCGTCATACGGCTGCCAAGCACATGACAGCCGCAAAGCCACTTGCTTGACTGAGAAGGCTCAGTTTCTTGGAATGTTGACGCATGCCCGCCCCCTCTTCCTATGGAAGCCTCCGCGTTCGGAGACATAGGAGCTGCATGCAACTTGTGATTGTCATCTACACCGCAACCCCCGAGGTCAGCTAACCAAAGCACCGCGGGAGCACGCGTAACTCGGAAGTCTCTCCTAAGGTGTCCCACGCTTTGTTGACATGGTCCTGTTGCGTGTAACCCACAAATCGCCTCTGGGCAATATGAATGTCCGGACTAGACTTAGCACATATAGATAGGCTCATCATGGATTTTGTGCATCCTAGAGCCTACTACCTGGCCCGAACATCTCACTTCTTCAGTGGCGGCCACAGCTGTTTGCCGTTGCGCAGGAAGGCTGAACACTTCCTGGGCATTCAAAGCTGCAGAGATGTCAGATTCACAAGATCCACTCCAAAGGTTTCAGGATTATTGGGCGTACGTCTGATTTTGCTGTTCTTGGTGTTCTCTAATTCGTTTTGCTTTGCTGAAAGTTGCTGCAGTAACAGGATTCGAGAAGCGCGTGCCTCTGACAGAAAGCAACACCAGTCATAATGAAGTGGGACACGGCGCACTTCTTGGTGTGAGCGAGGTGCGTTCGATGTCAGGGCAAAGGGAGGCGCTCACGCAAGTCATGCTGAACTGTTCAATCGCAGTCTGCGAGGGATTGCTGTATGTGAGGGAAGGATTTTCTTTGCGAGACTCGGCTGCATTCTTAGATATGTATTGCCCGGATGATGAGCAATGCCTTCGGCAGCTGTCGTTTCAACCCGGGCGGGAAAGTGTTGAATGACCTGGGCCTTACTGTCAGGAAGCTACCACCGGAAACAGGCTAGAATGATGTCTTGTGGTTGCAGTCTGCAATGAGCAATGGAAATCTTTGCAAAGCACCTTAACCTCACTGCAATAGGCTTGTGATTATGGATTCCCCAACTGGTCCAGCCCAGCGGCGACTCCTTGACCACAAAATTGGACTCCAAGGCCTCTTTTGGAGCATACTTCGAGGGGCCAAGGACACTCCTGGCTCAGGACCAAAGTCAGCAAAAGCATGCAAGTATTACTGGGTTGCTGTTGAGGAACTTGAAGTAGGAGCTACCAGAAGTAGAGGACAAGGAGGAGGATAAGTAGCTGTTGTACTCGTGCTGGTGGTGGTACTTGCTGTTGCAATGATTGGAGTGGTGACCTTAAGAGAAGAAACAGGTGTACGGTGACAGTTTTTAAACATCCGGACACGCAAACAACCGAACTGGTATGTTAGACTACCTCCGCAAAACATGGCGTCCGGCCGCCCACGATGCAAACATCCGGAATAGAATCTAAACTGGAAAACATCCGGATTTAGACAGATCTTTTATACTACCTCCGTGGCACATTGGGGTTGGCCGCCCTCCANNACTTGTTTAAAAAATGTCACCGTAGTAGTGTAGAACACTGCAGCAGCAGGAGGGTCACATGTAACAACAGCGGCAGCGGCAGCGGCAGCAGAAGAAATGAAAGATGGACTCGCAATATAACAACTCAATAAGTAAGCGTGGTGGCGGCAGCACAGTATTGTCCCTCTTACTTGCAGGAAGAAGCATAAATACCTTTTGACCCTCCTTCAGTCCTGAGGTGCACGAAGTCTTCCAGGAAGTGCTCCTGAACCTCGGGCAGCTTTGATTCCGCTTTGGATCTGTGAGCTGGAATACGTACCACTTCGCCTGAATCCGGTGCCTAACAAGATGTGGACTGCTTCCACATAGCCGTAGATTCCAAGCTGAATTGGACTAAGACCTGCTGCACGAATGGTGCCCACCTTTGTCAAGCGAAGCTCAAGTCAGCCGAGGGACAGCTTTCAGGTTTTCAGGGCTCAGACAACCGCAGCCAACATCATACTTCTTCAGCACGTGCGAGTGATGGTTCGTGCTGTTCAGCTTCAGCATCGACAGGCGCTTGTCGACTTGGCGAATTTTGGTCTCCAGATTTCCCAACATGGGCACAATCTTGTCAACCTTGGAAGCGTAGCCTTGGTATGCAATGTTTGAGGAAAGTCATACAGGAGTGCACGGTTGTCCTGATGTATGAGTGTACGAGGCCGCCCGGTGCTGGCTATGATCTAACCATCAGAATAGTTTGGGGTTTTCAACGGGATGCTCCTGTTGATCCGGTACCCAAGTCCTTTGCAGACCTTGGGCCAGGACACGTTGAATGAATAGTTGACCTTCTGTAATGTGGTTCGGCCCCTTGTCTGCCTCTTCGTCAAGCGCTATACACTGACGAAAGCTTTCTTCCTCATGCGTGGCATATCTGTTCTTGACCGTGTTCAGCAAGCATATTTAGACTTTAGACCCATGGCTGAAGCATGTGAATGTGAAGTGCAGTGGCGTTTGCAGCCACGTGCCGAGCTCAAAGCCATGAGCTTTTTGCAATTTGAGTTCGGCACTGGCCCTAACGAATTTGCTAACGAAGACAACAAAGGCCCACCAGCATTTACCAACTTCGGCTTGTTGCGCACGATTAGCCTCATTAGCTAAGCTGCACCACTGGGGGATCATGTGGCAGTCTTCCACCTCGGAATCAGTCTTGTACCTCAGACAGAGGCGTGGCTTGGAAAAGCTGCAGTTTGGGGAATCCTGTCTGAATTCTGCACATTGCAGCAAGGTTTCGCTTTCATCACCAAAGATACCCACTTGTTGAAATTGGCCTGGGACAATGCGAGAGATGAGAGGAGGCGCATGCTTATGCAGCCACGGAACTTGTGTTTGAACATTGGTTTGGCCTTGAGGGTTGGAGATGGGGTCCCAACTTCCTGGCAGCCCTGCAATAGACCTGTGGGGTGAGACATGCCACATGCGAACCAATCTGGGGAATCTGACATGAGCTGCCTTACAAGTCACCTTTCAGCCAATCCGAACACTTGCTTAGAGCCATGCTGTCACAATTGGGTTCAATCATGGATTGCTTCCACACTAGGGCTCCAAGCAGCGCACGGTATGTACTTTATAGACTTTAGTGAGTCATACTTACTGAAGTTTAGTAAGTATCATTATAGACTTGAAGCTCCGAGGCAAAGCACGACACGACTTAGGTTCCCCTGTGGAAAGTACCCCTAATTTTGGGAACCCCCCACGTAGATTTTGAGCCACGTGGCGCAGTCTGGCGTGTCATGCGAGTCTAGGCCTTCGGCCTTGTACCTGCCATCACTCACCGCGTGAGCTTTTTAGGGTATATGCAGGGTGTATCGGTATATACGGTGTCACACAGGGATTCAACAGGGATGAGAAGGGATACTACGCTTGAACGACACTGCGATGTGTTCCCCCGCAAATCATGCTGAAGCGCGGAAATCAGTTGCACTAACCCTGGGGTAGCCTGGGTATGAAAGTGCGGTTGAAAGCGAAGAGGCTAACAATTGGATAATGTGCCTAATTACCCATGATGGCCATGTCAATGTACCGCTATGAAGCTGCCTGCGGGCTGTTGCGCGACTTTCATGGAAGCGACGTTCTACGTGCTCGAGTGTCTATCCAGCACTTCCGCATCTGATGTTGCCGCTGGGGCTAGCTGGGTTCCACTTTTACAGACAACCAACCTGCAATTTTCACAGTGAATGCCTGCACCAACATTTTCTACACAAGAGTCCGGTGTGGCGCACGTGTGTTGCTGGCACGTACATGTCCCGTTTACATCTACACATGAGCCTGTGTTCATGAACAAAGGAGCGTGCCGTGTCACCCAAGAATGAATACTTGTGAGCTCAGGCGGTCCGTAACATGGTGGTTTCCTGAGTAGGAGTGCCCAATATAGACAACGAATGCTATATATAGTCCTCATTATAAGGACCCCTCAAAACGGTACCACTACTGTTGGGAAACCCCCGCATCGAGATTTTGACGCCGCCTTGATACAATCGTTGAGGCCGAACTTGAAACCTATGCGGGCTGCAGCGAAGGAACTTACATTATGTTCTCAGAATATGGATAAATGATACAACACGCGGTTTTGTAGTAGGGGAGCTTAGGTTAGCTAAACTTCCCTAACAGTAACCTAGCTCCATGGCCTCTGGTACCATCCCTGCAGGCGCGCCCAGGCAAACTCGGAGACAAGCCGATCGCAGGGATCCCTAACAACAGCCTCGGACGGGGCGGGGGGGTGGGAGGAAAGGCATACTGGTGATTCTAAAGTCCTGCATGGTACTAACTTGCCGTACTTCACAAGGTCAGGTCTCTAGGTCGGTCAGGATCTGTAATAAGTAATATCAGCCGCAATGAGCAAAAGGGCTATATGTGCGTATGTGCGTGTGTGAGTGTGAGACCTAATTTGACAAATGCACTCCGGAAAACAGTCGAAGGAACGGCTGAAGACTTGAGACTCCTATCTCAGGGATGATAAGGGATGGGAAGCCCCTAACTTGGCATGGACTTGCCGAGCGCCTTCCAATCATCACGCCCTTCCAGGAGGTTAGAAAGAGGCTTAGTGTTGATGAACCGAGCATTGTGGTGTTTGAGTGAGCGCGTCACGATGCCCTGCATTGGCTGCATATCACAAGCCCAAGGCGCTGAACCTGCTTTGAAATGCGAAGACAAGTCTGAGCCAAAGCCAAAAACCAGCCCCCTCCCCAAACCGCTTCACGCACCCTTGCTACATTCATCTGGCTCCAACTTACTCATGACTTACGGGTACAGCTGTTGGAAGACATCATGAATCGTGCCTGTTTTTTTTGTGGTTCGGTGCTGACAGGGACTCAGAGCCCGCAACATCCTGAAAACCGAAATCCTTTCGCCACGGCACCCAGCTATCTGGGACGTGTTCCTGGCGGAAGTTTCGGACTTGCACTCAGGGGTGAATGGCTCCTCAGCCTGGTTCTACAGACGGAGGTTCTAACACGTAGCTTGAGCCTACCTCGTCTCAACCGTCTGGTCTCACTCCCAGTATGGAAGGCCTCCTGTGCCTGCAACCTGTAGTGGTGGATGCACAACGAAGAGAACCTGGCCTTCGACCGTATCAACTCAGGCCGCAACTCAGCCATAGACAGGTGTTTACCATGCTTCCCTTCAAGTAAAGACCTCTTCTCAGCATCCCCATGCAGAAAGGCTGTAGCAATCACAGACAAGCAGCCTACATCAGTGCACTCTATGAAGTTAGGAATCCCCACTCCCAGCAAGAAGTATGCTCGATTTCTCATTTATTAAAATATTGTAATTCGTAGGACTTTAGGGACTTAAGGTGGTGCAAAATTTCCTCCATCAACAGTATGCCCAACAGATCTGTCCTGCGGTGGGTTGTGCTTCATGCAAAAAAATGGCACCTGCGACCACGAGAGTGATGGTCTGGGGTTTAGGGTTTGGGGTTCGGTTCTGATTCAAACTTGCTTCTTAACTTTTGGAAGCCCTAATTTGCCTGTAAACCCTTATGTAACCCCAGTTTCCATTTCATTGCCAATTTGCTTTATCCTCTAATGTGGATGAGGTAACCAGTTATTCCTAAATATTGGGTGAGATGCAGGGGGGAGTATAGAAACAATCCTCCAATGGGATGACTGGTGGTATTATTGCCCGAAATGGGCTGGGGCTCTGATGACGTAAGGTACTGAGGGTCATGAAGGATCTTTAATGGTATCACCCGAATGCAGCAGGCACCTGCTCACTATTGAAACCGAGTTGCTTGTTGGGTTTATTGCATAAAGCCGGGGCAACAACACATGCTATTATGAACACGCGCAAGTTGTGATACAGCTGACAGCGCAAAACCTCATGCCACGATGGGTTTCCAAATCTCAAGAATAGAGCACAAAACACATAGGCTCCCCCCCCCCCAGCGACACAGAAGATGGGAAACAAAGGCGACAAGCTGAACCTTGTTGATCTCTTGCCAAAATTTGGAGCATGAAGGATGCAAGAAAGCGATCTGCTTTACACAGCAAAGTTGTACCCTGCGCTTGCTAACTCTAAACCCTTGCTGCCTCAGGATACCTGCCGGAGTCTGTGAAGTTGGAGCCCAGAGCCCTCCAAATGGAGGTGCCTGTTCAATGGCTCACGCCCTTGTAGGCCAGTACTTACCAGGGGGTTAGTAGGGAATAAGGAAATTTGTTACATAAGGATTATCTAGCACTTATATTCCCTAATTTCCCTACTAGCCACCAATAAGTTTCAGGGTCCCGGGCTCAAGGAGGCTGATAGAAACTGTGGCAATCTGATGGGCTTAGGCGCGCAGTTTAGGGGTTTGGATTTTAGGGCGTGGTTGATGAGCATCAGGGTCAGAAAGATGATTGTTGCGCCAGAGACCGTCTGTGGAATCAGTAAGGCATTTTTTTACGACAACATTCAAATCAAAGCTTGAACACGTAGCCTGAGTCTCATGAGTTGCTTAGCCGCAAGTGTTGCATTCATGCCCTGAACTGCTGCTGCTTTCCTGCAGTCTTCGGAATGTGCACGAAGATTGGGCCGCGAAGATCGCTCCTAACAGTTTCAGGCTTCAGGAAATTGCACTATTCAGGCAGGAGCGGGGCTGTTGGCATCGACCTTCTGTGAATTAGAGCCTTGACGTCGAGGCGTCCAGAATTGCCAGCAAACCCTGGAAACTTCATGGAACTCACCCTGCAATGGGCTCTGCAATTACACCCTGGCAGAAGTCCTCAGCAATCCTTTGAACTTCTTTCCGGGTGTGACCGGTGCGTCAACTGCCTCCAGCACGATGGCGAGCGCATGGGGAAGAAGAGCAACAACCTCGACTCAAACGTTGCTGGTTCATCTGGAGAAATGGGCAAGGGCTTGTGATCGGGAAGGTGTGATCCATTTCTGCACATCTGTGGCGCTAAAGCAGTTTCTAGTTTCTGCTAACGGCCTCTGCTTCAAAAGAACCTGGGCTTCTGGCAACTCCCAATGCAAGACAAGGAGCCCCTGCTGTGGCATTCTCCGTAGGAGTGGATGCTACTGCCAGTATCTTGTCGAACCCAAACCTTGTGCGTTCTCCAATGCTCGAGTGACCCCTACAT